ACAAATTCAGTGTGGAAGTTGGAGCTCCACTTCCATTTCCCTACAAAATTGAGAAGTTATGAGTCGATGCTTGCCTCCAAAGCTTACAGTTACATAAAACTAATCACTACATTGTGAATCATTTTTCTTTATCTATGGGGCAATAAGTAACATGCGCCCTTTCTGTTCACCGGTGGAGTAGAGTCCTTGTTATGTATGGACACTGTATGTAAGCTTGATAGTGAAAGAACAAATGCTATCATGTGCAACGCAACTATACATCGTGTTCATGTTGTAATATACAATCTGTACTGCAGGTATGAACCAAACACAATCGATCTCGACCATGACGAATTCAAGTATTTTTCCTTTCCCTTGTCTATAAATACATTATAGGAACTGCATTCTTATGATTCCCTTGGTGATATCTGAGATTTTCCATGCTAGGTACTGGTTCACCATTTTGTCAGACCACCTGCCAGATCTTGTGGAGAAGGTATGTTCCACTTCTCACACATATTCTCCCTGTATACATCTAAATTTTGTTTCACTGCATGACATTGTGATAACAATAAATTATCTGAATATTTATACGTCAATTGATAACTGGGGACCTGTCTGGGTCCTTAAATAAGTCTGTCAGCCTGCAACCATGTGTCATGGGGGTCAGCATTGCAGCCACTAGCCACTGCCACAAGTCCAAGGAGAGGCCGGCAAAGTCTGTTAAGGCTTAGAGATAGGCCTTCATGTCTACTTCCTCCATCCCAAAATAAGTGTCGCTGATTTAGTACAAAGTTATTACAAAGTTGTACTAAATCAGCGACACTTATTTTGGGACGGAGGGAGTATAAGATTAATTTCCTGTTTAAAATATCATTGTTCTACTTTACCAGTTACCACCAAGTCATGCTAACTATTTAAAATAATTACTAAGCAGGCACTCCATCTACATATATATTCTACTAAAAACACTGCTCTTGTTAAGCACTATGATTTTTTGTTTCCAAAATCGAGGCAGAAGCTTAAGAAGAATACAGCCTAGTTAATTAAGGGTGGGTAAAAACCAAATGACCAATACAACAGACTCAACACTTAGTACCTAGCTATATCGTGGAGCCACTATTATTAACATTTAAATTACTAGTGATTCTGTTATCTTGCTAGCTCCTAGATTCACAGTTCTATCGGCGTTAAATTGGTATAGCAATGAATTTAAGTGTACGTGTAAACTTGAAAAGTATCTCGGTGACTAAACACTGCATACTGTTTGCAGGCGGTTGCCAGTGAAGGTGGGACTGATGACGCGAAACGGCGGGGAGATGCGTTTGCGCATGCCTTTTCTGCTCATTTGGCAAGGTACACAATTGTAGTTGCATGCCGCTGGTGTTTGGCTGCCACAACCTATGGCTTGCCACATTTGCGGTGCCATTTTTCTTGGCCACAACGTAGCCAATTTTTTTTGACATACTTAGCTTACTCTAGGGCTTTGACCAAACAGCCCTAGTGTAAACTGCATTGCACGTTATCGCTCTGTTGCCTTACTTATGTGTTAAAGTTTAGGTTGACTGAGGAGCCTGCTGCTTATGGGAAGTTCGGTTTAGCCAACCTGTTGGAGTTGAGAGAAGAATGTTTGAGAGAATTTCAATTTTTCGATGCATATGTTAGTATCAAGCAGAGGTTAGTTCATAATCTCTTCACGGTTCTCAGTAAATATCTCTACTCTGGCTACTTAAATTGTTTGATGCTTTCTGCATGAAGGGAAAATGAAGCTTCACTGGCTGTTTTACCTGATCTACTCATGGAACTTGATAGTATGGATGAGGTATGAGAGAATGTTTCCCTTCTTTATCCATTGGCACAGCGCGTAGATAAAAAAAAGTGAGAATTTTGGTTAATCTCACAGCAAAAAAATAATAACAATTTCATAAACTGCCACACATTGTGTAACTGAGAAGCAGATCTGTTCTGGCCCCACCTGCCAGTGCCACGGTAAACAGTTTTATGTTGATTTTTTTGCTTGCATGCTTCTGTGACGGCCACATGCTGCTGGCCGGTAGTTCAGCAATCTACACTCAGTTTCATCTCTAGAATTATGAATTCGTCGAAGTTTTATTTTTATGCTCGATGTTTTCAGGAAGATAGATTGCTTGCGCTAATTGAAGGTGTTCTTGCTGCGAACATATTTGATTGGGGGTCTAAAGCTTGCGTGGACCTTTACAACCAAGGAACTATAATAGAAATTTATCGCATGAGCCGCAAGAAGATGCAACGTCCTTGGCGGGCAAGTATTCCAAGTCTCAAATTCAAATGTTATTGCAATGCACGAGTTACCCAAATTATATTTTACGAGTTATACTAATACATGACCAGATAATCGTAATGATGGTATCTTTTGTTTCAGATTGATGACTTTGATACGTTCAAAAGCAGAATGCTTAAGAAGGATCAGCCATACAAAAGAGCACTTATTTCTGTTGATAACGCGGGTGCTGATGTGGTCCTTGGAATGCTTCCTTTAGCACGAGAATTTCTACGCCGTGGAGTTGAGGTATAAATTGAGAGTATGAAAATAAGAACACATTTTGCTAGGTTTGCCCCACATTATAGTTTGAATTAAAAAGAACAAACGTCCTGCTGTTTCAAGAGATTGAATCATGGGCCGGGGACAAGCAGTATACTGCATGCTATAGGGTGTAATTTGCATGCTATAGTGTTGTCCTTGATGGAAAATATAGACTGAATGCCAGATCTGGAAATTTTATTTTATTTGCATCACCCAGACTGAAAGACTGAATGCCGGAACTGATAGAAAGATGACTTTCGCAGTTTCAGCAACGTTGTGAAATAACCATTCAATGATTACTCTTTCAACTGCTACTCAGACACTCAGCATAAGCTGGTAACCAAATACTGATTCTGCAGGTAGTTCTGGTTGCAAATTCGTTGCCGGCTTTGAATGATATTACGGCTAATGAACTTCCAGAAATTGTAGCTGAAGCTGCAAAGGTACAAAGTGAACGGAAATTTTGTTCTCCGTCCTAGCTGTTTTATCTACTGATGCATCTGGCTTCTGCTTTATTGGTTGTGATGTGTCGCAGCACTGTGGTATCCTTCGGAAAGCTGCAGAAGCAGGCGGACTGATAGTCGATGCTATGGCTGGCATCCAAGGTGATACCAAGGATGAACCGGCGTCGGTGCCACTAATGGTCGTGGAGAATGGATGTGGCAGTCCATGCATTGACTTCCGGCAGGTTAGCTCGGAGCTTGCAGCTGCTGCCAAGGATGCTGATCTGGTAAGAAGTCTGTATGTAGTAGCTCTTTGAGCTGAATGTATTTCCTTGTGTGCAATAATCAGCTGGAGAGTTGTTTGATCTGTTGGTTTTGGCTGTGAATGTTATGCAGTTGATCTTAGAGGGCATGGGGCGATCGCTGCACACCAACCTCAACGCCCGTTTCAAGTGTGACGCTCTGAAGGTACTTATTTTCTACAGTGCTGACTTGTTTGATGTATAATGACAAACTTGATCCTGGCCTTGTGGTCATTCTAAATGGCAGTATAACTTGACTCTTGTGCTATTATTCAAGTGAACCGTCTTTGCACTTGCGCTTTGCTGGAGATTTATACCCAGTCTGTCAATATCGTCGAGCCAACAAGAGCATTGCGCCAAAGCTTTATATAGTGTACTCAATATCCTGAGCTTACCAAACTGACTATGTGTGCAGCTTGCGATGGTGAAGAACCAGAGGTTGGCAGAGAAGCTTTTCAACGGAAACATATACGACTGCATCTGTAAATTTGAACCTGTTTCGTGACGGTCCAGAAGACCCGCGGACAAATTGCTATAGATGGTGTTGTGTTGTACTCAAGAACCATGAAACCATTGTGATTCTAGCACAGCAGCACCAAAGGTTTAGACAGTGTTATGATGTACTCAGTGACCATGAAAACTCATTGTGCTGGCACATGGCATATAAGCTAAAAAACCGAATTATACTGCAAGAACTGAAGGTTTGTTTCTACTCTCACACTATAGAAAATACTCCTCGGTCAAAGTAGTGTCCACAACAACAACAAAGGCTTTAGTCCCAAATAAGTTGGGATAGCCTTGTTCCATTAAGATCTTGAAACCAACTCATGATTTTGGCATGTGGATAGGTAACATTCACGTGCCTTGTCCATGGCTAGTTCTGGCTAGTTCTTTGGTTATATACGAGCCCTTAAGATATCTCTTTAGTCTCTTTAGGGACTCCTCTCATGTCAAGTTTGGTCTACCTTGATCCATCAACACGTTTTAGCCCTCTCCTATGCAGTGGCCTCGGTGTACATGCCCATACCATCTTAGTGGCATACCCCATTGCGGTTCGAATCACCGTTCTATAAACCTTTCTTTTAGCTTTTGTGGCACTCTTGTCATAGAGAATGAAAGAAGGTTTGTGCCACTTCATCCATCCGGCTTTGATTCGATGGCTCACACAGCTTTGATTCAATTGCTCACATCTTTGTTGATATCTCTATTCTTCCGTAGCATTGGCCCAAAATATTGAAAGGTGTCCTAAGATACCACTTGCCCTTGGGTTTCATCTTCATAGAAGGGTTGTTTTGACGTTGGCTCGCCAAGCTTATCACAACGCTGCTCCTTTACCTACTGGGCTTGAGATCGGCTATGTTGAGACAGCGTAGACGGAGTTAGTCAAAGTAGTGTCATTTTTTCCCTAAGATGGTGCTGTGCCAGCCAGGGTGTTGCAACATAAGAAAGAGTTTGAGAGAACAACATTTTTCAGAATGAACAGTGAGGATTCAGTTTAAGTTTCTTTGATTCAGTTTCTTCAGCCTTGTGAGATCATGATGTCTCTACTTATCGGCAATGCCCGGATCAACAGGAGAATGCTTATGAAATCATAAAGTTCAAGTCGCAGCAATTAACATAACGGGAGATACATGGACAGTTCACGCTAGCATATCGGCCAGTTGATCCACAGATCAACAGCGTGCCGATCATCTCCATACAAGCAGCTCTACTCTAGGCAAAGTTGATGTTGTAGGCCTTGACGCCGTCTGCCCTGAAGATGCCGAAGTGGCGCTCGAACTCGGCGCCGGTCTTGCCGTCCTCGTCGTAGAGGTCGAACAGGAACACCTCCACGGGCGCCCCGGGCCGGCGCGGCGTGCCGGCGCCCCGCGCCGCCCTCTCAGCCATCCTCCCGTTGTACGCCGCGGCGTTCTCCGGCGTCGCGGCCGGGTGCCCCGCGGTGGGCCACCCGGTCTCGGTCACCGCCACGGGCACCCCGCCGAAGCCCTCCCGCTCGAGCGCCGCCACCACCGCGTCCACCGTCGCGTCGAACAGGCCCGCGTACGCCAGCGCGCCGTCGCGCACCACGGGCTCGTCGGAGGCGCCGAGCGCGTAGGCGAGCGGCACGTTGGCCGGGTCGCCGACGTGGCTGATGAACGGGTAGGCGTTGAGCATGAAGGGGGCGCCGGTGTCGGCAAGGAGCCGCAGCATGGGCCGGAGCACGTCCATCTGGGCGGCGTCGAAGGCGCCGGCCGAGGGCGGGTAGGAGGACGCGAGCACCGACGAGGCGTGCGCCGAGGAGACCTTGACGGCGCCGTCGAGCCCGAGGGAGGCCAGCGCGGCGTGCAGGTTCCGCATGGCCGGCACCAGGTGCGGCGCGTAGAACTGGTTGTTGTAGAGCACCTCGTTGCCGACAGCGAGGTAGCGGAGCCGGCCGGCGACGGGGCCGCTGGCGAGTCCGTTGGAGCGCAGCCACTGCAGCGCGCCCTCGGGCCCGGCCGCGGAGAGGAAGGTGAGGTTCTCGTTGGGCACGCCGACCGTGAGGTCGATGCCGGCCGCGGCGAAGGCGGGGAGCACGGCCTGGTCCGGCAGGAAGAGCCGCGCCTTGGTGATCCCGTTACTCCTCAGCAGCGCCGCGGCCGCCTCGGGCGCGGGGAGGTTGCCGCCCACGCGGCCGTAGCACACCCCGATCTTCCCCGGGTCGCCACCGGCCGCCACGGCGAGCAGCGCGGCCAGGGCGGCGAGGAGGACGTAGCCGGAACGCAGCGACGCCGCCGCCGCTGCCGTTATGCTCGTGGCCATTGTGACTTTGTGAGTACGTTGCGATTCGGCGGTGTTGATCTCGTGATGTTTGTCTGTGGAGTGTTGGACTCTGCCCTCGTCGGTTATATAGAGCTTGTGTTGACAAGAATGGCAGGGTACGTTGGTGCAGGCCTGACCTGGGTGGGGACGTTGGCGCGAATCTGATCTGAGTTGCTTTTGACGGTTGCCGGGGCGGTACGATTGATCGGACGGGTAGCCGTTAGAGCATATTATAGCCGTTGGCTTTTGAATGGCGATCGAGCTGCACATCAAATGATCTGGTGCGCTGTCCTGGCCATGTGTCACCCCGCAGGTGTTGCTGGAGCTGCCACTATTGCACCCCAAAAGACTGCTGGCGGTGAGTGGGGCTGGAGGAGGAGATGCATTGAGCAGAGCGAGCTGCCATCTTGGCAGTGTTACCCTCTACGGTTCAATCACAAATCGTTGTATCATAACTATCAACACATTATACTAATTGTAATCGTAGGATCATTCCAATTAATTTAGATCATAATATCACATAATTCGCGGCGACTCTCCGTCCCTCGTCTTGCTTCGAGTGAAAACCTTAATCATTTGGATCGGGTGGTGGCAGCGCTCCGGCATTGTTACCTTTCTGAAGGCGCCGTCTGGGAGTCCTTGGCTCGTCGGGCGCGGCTCATCTCTATGGGTGACTCTGTCACGGTGGAATTCGTTTGACCAACAATTACTCTTTTCGTTTGCGAAGTTGGGGCATTTGACCAACAATTACTCTTTTCGTTTGGGATATATGTATTCCATCTTTTCATAGTAATAGTTGTCGTTCTGGGTCTAATTTAATTGTTTGACGTATTCTGGTGACCGTGACCGTAAATCAGGAGCTTTTGTGGAAGGAGTATAATCCACTCTTTATTTGCCCCGTTAAGGCATCTCCAACATCGACACGTAAATAATAACCATCTTGACTGTGTGATCCAGATGTGTTGTGTCATCCAATGCAGATCTGTATCAGTCTGCAGAGCGGCCTGAACATACTTTCTTCCGTAAGCCAAAGTGTGGGGCTTTGCGGGAGTCCTGACAGCACCCAAGCCCGTTTCTGACCACAATGACCCACCTAAACCTCCCTCCCTCGCCCGCGCACGTTTCTGCCCGGTGTCAGCTGCCTGCATTCATGCCCCTGTAAAGCGCGTTGCTCCACATTGAAGCTGGACCAGAGCGAACACGACCTCTCACTGGCTCTGCCAATAAAGCGGCGCACCGGCCTAGGGCGCCGCCAGCTGCATGCCCGGCTGAACACGCCTCCTCGCTGCATTCAAACGCCTCTATTAAACCCGTGTGGAAGCCGAGAAATCTACTCCGACCACACATCTGTTCACGAGCGGGCGGCATTAAACACAACGTCGGGCAAGCTCCTCCCTTTCGTCCGCTATTTAAAGGAGGCCAGATGCCGGGCAAGAATCGCACCACTCCGCCACTCTCCATCTCCTTATTCCACCATTTTCTCCATCCTTTCAATGACATCTGACGAGCAGGAAGAGCAGTTCTTCGGCATAAAAGCCAGTTGGATGACCCATCGGATACAAGCGAGGCAGCTCGCTACTTCACCTCCAAGCCCGACAGAGCAAGTTGCCGCTCCAAGCTGGCGCGTGGTTCAACAACTCGGTGCTCCAAGCCAGCTTGCGAGGAGTGGCGAGTTGCTCCAGGCCAGCACAGGAGGAGCATGACACGGGCATCATCCCTGCCGTGGACGATGCCACATCGTACCGCACCTCCCGTGCCTGCGACCGCGTCATCCGCCATCAACGCGCGCTAACCGCGCCCTGCCGGCAGAGAAAGAAGCCGGCTACACGGAAATCGACGAGTCAATGTTCAGTGCGTCCGCGACTGTCGCCAACGTCGAGGGAAAATAGAACATGGGAGGCCGCCGCCGCTTGGGGCCCAGGAAGGCCACTGCCGGCGCTTCGCCGGCTTGTACAGCCGGTGACCTTTCCGGTTTTTATCCCAGACCATCGTCGGTCCCTCGTCTGAGCTCCACGAAAGTGGAGGAGCCCCCCTCCCCCTCAAACTGAAGCGTCCTCTTTTCCACTCCGATGACTGACGCAGCCGGACATAGGGAAGGTACGGGGGAAGAATATACCTCCGAGACTCCCGGCAGTCCGATGAGCGGGCTGTTGGACATGGGGAAGACAAAGGGATCCGTCGTAGCCTGCCGTAGACTAGTGTAGTGTATCCATGTCGTAGAAGTGGAGCTCCGCGCGACCGTACGTGCACATACTTTTACCTTTTTAGTTAAAATACGTCCAAAATGTAAACGTTTTCGTCCGGTTTGTATGAAATCCGCTGTGTTTACATGAACTTCATCCGGTTTGTTGAAAAAATGTTTGAAATGTATGCGGGCATTGTCTGATGACGGCCTTCTACATCCATTTTTATGGACTGGTTCCTTATCCGCGGACGGATGCGGGAGGGAATTTGCGGCTCGTCGTTGGGATGCCCTTACCTCAGAGCAAATTTGTTTTCCAATGGACCATTATTCGGACTTGCTGAAGGACGACGGCAGTAAAAACAAGAACAAATATTGGTTGTTCCTAAAAAAAAAAGAACAAATATTGGTCTCCGCAGAACATGGATCGTAACCGAGGCTTGAAATATACTCCTTTCGTCCCAAAATATAAGAACGTTTTTAACATTAGATAGTGTCAAAAACATTCTTATATTCTGGGACAGAGGGAGTACTGTATTAGTTTTGACTTTGTACTGTTAGACTGTATTTACATGTGTATATTGTAACGTTGTATACCACATCATTATATATATATGTGATAGGCCATCCCTAGAGGGTTGTGCCAGTTCCCCCCAAAGCCTATTGTCTTACATGGTATCACGCTAGGTTACGTCCGCTTCCGCCTACAAACCCTAAACCGCAGCCGCCGCCGCCGCCGCCGCGCCCGCCGCCGCCGTCGCCCGACTGCTATGACGTCCGCCGCTGCGTCCGGCTCCACCGCCACCGGTTTTCTGCCGGCCTCCCTCGCGGCGCTTCTCTCGAGGCCGCTGGATGCCGCCTCCCTTCAGGCGCCGATCGGGACACGGAGCGTTGGCTCCCTCTTCGCGCTCCCGCCGGCCGCTACTTCGCCCGGGCAGGCGCTTGTGGCCCACACCGCCGCCGCCCCGTCAACCGCGGCTGTCGCGCCCTCGGCCACTGCGCCGCTGGTGGCGGAGGACGTCGCGCTGGCAGGCTTCGCGGCGTCAACCGCGGCCATCGCGCCCTCTGTCACCGCGCCGGCTGCCCCTCTGACTGTCTCCACGGTGGTCTCACCTCAGCCAGTCTCCTCGATGGGATCGCAGCCGCCGCCGCCGTTTCACTTCGGCCATCTCATCACCATCAAGTTGTCGTCGGACAATTACATCTTCTGGCGCGCGCAGGTTCTTCCGCTTCTTGGGAGTCACTACCTGCTTGGCTATGTCGACGGCTCTCTCCCTTGCCCTCCTGCGCTGGTTGACAGCATGCATGGTCCGGTCTATAATCCGGCTCACCGTGTCTGGACAGGGCAGGATCAGGCGAACCTCTCCTCCATCCAGGGGTCGCTCTCTCCGGCCGTTGCTGGGCTTGTTGTCTTCGCCAAGACGTCCCACGAGGCATGGACTATTCTTGAGCGCTCGTTTGCGGCACAGTCGCAGGCTCGTGTATCTGGGCTCCGTCGCCAACTTGGGGAGTGTCAGAAGCTTGACTCCACCGCCACTGAGTTCTACAACAAAGTCAAGAGTCTCACTGACACGCTGGCCTCCATTGGATAGCCCCTCACCGACTCCGAGTTCAACTCGTTTATTGTCAATGGTCTTGATGAGGAGTATGACGCCCTAGTCGAGATCATCAATGAGAGGGGCAACTCCACGCCCATGCCAGCACACGAGGTCTTTTCACGCCTCCTTCTTACTGAGCAACGAGTCGAGACGCGCCGATCCAGGGGCAACGGCGCCCTCTCGGCAAACGCCGCCATCAAGGGTGGTCGCTCCTCTGCTTCATCCAGGGCTCCTTCGGGGCAGTCACCACCACCCGCCTCGGCCCCTCCTCCTACTGCGACGCTACCAGGGGCTGGCGGTTCACGTGTGTGCCAGCTTTGTGGTCGCGATGGGCACTGGGCCTCGAAGTGTCACAAGCGCTTCCAGCGGGGTTTTCTTGGTCTCGGCAATGACGGGAAGGATACACGCAACTTTGCTCGTCAGGTCGCCATGGCTGATCGCCCGCCGCCGCAGAAGCCACAGGGACACACTCAGTCCTACTCCATTGATCCCCACTGGTACATGGACTCTGGGGCGACAGAGCACCTGACCAGTGAGATGGGGAAGCTTCACACTCGTGAACCCTACCATGGCTTCGACAAGATCCACACCGCCAATGGAGCAGGTATGCACATGTCTCATATTGGTCAAGCATCACTTCTCACTAGACATGCCAATAGGAGTCTTCAACTTCGCAATGTTCTTCGAGTTCCATCTGTGACACGTAATCTTCTTTCCGTTCCTAAACTCACTCGTGATAATAATGTGCTTTGTGAATTTCATCCGTTTGATCTTTTTATTAAGGATCGGGGCACGAGGGACATTCTTCTTAGTGGGCGGCTCTGCCAAGGTCTCTATCGTCTGGAGCATCCTGGCGTCGCTCGCGTCTTTAGTGGAGTTCGGGTATCTCCGTCACAGTGGCATGCTCGTCTTGGTCACCCGGCCACACCTATTGTCCGGCATGTTTTGCGTCGTCATGAGCTTCCTAGTGTGTCTAGTAATAAAGATGTAGCAGTGTGTGATGCTTGTCAGCAGGGGAAGAGTCATCAACTTCCTTTTTCGGAGTCCAGTCGTGAGGTGAAACATCCTTTAGAACTTGTGTTTTCAGATGTATGGGGTCCTGCTCAGACTTCTGTTAGTGGTCATAATTATTATATCAGTTTTGTTGATGCTTACAGCCGCTTTACCTGGCTTTATCTTATCAAACGTAAATCTGATGTGTTTGACATTTTTGTTCAGTT